CATTGTACTTGTAACTGAGTTTTCTGGTGCGACACTGTTTTATCGGCTTCAAAACTAAGTTTGTTATTTCCAAACCAGATTAATGAGATCATGTAATATCTTTTAACATCGGTGACTATTTAATCCATTCTTTTACATCTCAGAAGCATTTTTATTATTACAGGGAAAATATGCATTGTACATGTATCTGTAATAAACAGGATTATAGAAATTTTCCATTTAATACAACACAATCAACGCAAATATTTTATAAGGGTGTGATCTATTTATCAATATGGTTTTCAGCATCTTGCTCTACCTGTAATGACTTGCTCCAAGTTCCAATATTTAAATTTAAATTTTGCAAACATGGTTATAAAATTCTTTAAAAGCCAAATAGTTTAAGGAACAAAATGCTTATATATTTCCTATCATTTGTGAAGTGTACACTGAATGAGATGTGGAATGTTAGAATTAAAGTATTAAATATGTTTTGGACTTATGTATGCTTATGCAGATAAATTTGAATTCAGCTAGGGAAGGTAAATGTCGTACTTATTGGGTTTGCAATCTAATGCAAGAGTATAAATATCCAAGACAAATCTGACAATTTTAAAGAAGGGTATAAGTAATCCAAGAAGAATTGGACAGGTAAACATCACCTGTTGGGTTTTATTCTAATGTTGGGATGTAATATCCAAGAAGAGTTGAACCAATGTCCAATACCTATTGGGTTTTCTTTCTTATGAAAAAAAAATTGAGTAACCCAAGAAGAATGTCCAATACCTTTTAGTTTATATACTATTGAAGGGAAGAAGATATCCAAGAGGAGTTGGACAGGTGTCCATTCATGTTGGGTAGTATTCTGATGATGGGATTCTCAAGAAACCCAAGAATCAGACAAGTGTCCATTGCCTGTTGGGTGGGATGCATTATCCAAGAGAATTTGGACGGATGTCCATTACCTGTTGTATGGTATTCTGATGAAACAATTCAAGAAACCCAAGAAGAATTGGAAAGTGTCCATTACCTGTTGGGTGGGATGTAGATATACAAGATGAGTTGATCTGATGTCATTTACCTGTTGTGTTGTTTTCTGATGAAACAATTCAAGAAACCCAAGAAGAATTGGACAAGTGTCCATTACTTGTTGGGTGAGATGTAGATATCCAAGAGGAGTTGGACAGGTGCCCATTACCTGTTGGGTGGTATTCTGATGAAACAATTCAAGAAACCCAAGAAGAATTGGACAAGTGTCCATTACCTGTTGGGTGGGATGTAGATATCCAAGAGGAGTTGGACAGGTGTCCATTACCTGTTGGGTTGTATTTTGATGAGGAGATTCAAGAAACCCAAGAATTAGACAAGTGTCCATTGCCTGTTGGGTTGGATGTAGATATCCAAGAGGAGTTGGACAGATGTCCATTACCTGATGGGTGGTATTCTGATGAAACAATTCAAGAAACTCAAAAAAACTGGACAAGTGTCCATTACCTGTTGGGTGGGATGTAGATATCCAAGAGGAGTTGGACAGGTGTCCATTACCTGTTGGGTTGTATTTTGATGAGGGGATTCTCAAGAAACCCAAGAATCAGACAAGTGTCCATTGCCTGTTGGGCGGGATGTAGATATCCAAGAGGAGTTGGACGGATGTCCAATACCTGTTGGGTGGTATTCTGATGAAACAATTCAAGAAACCCAAGAAGAATTGGACAAGTGTCCATTACCTGTTGGGTGGGATGTAGATATCCAAGAGGAGTTGGGCAGGTGTCCATTACCTGTTGGGTTGTATTTTGATGAGGAGATTCAAGAAACCCAAATAGAATTGGACAATGTACACATGTTCAATTGTTCTTGGGTAGTTTAATCCCTTCGTCAAAATACAACCCAACAGATATAGGACACTTGTCCAATGCCTGTTGGATACCTTCATTCTGTCCAACATGTAATGGGCATTTGCTTATATTATATTAATTGGTCATGACTCAAAAAGGTTTCTCCTTATAAATACTTAATTTTGTTATTCAAGAAAGGTTGAACAGAGTCTGAGATGTGTTGAGTTGTGTTTTCACAATTGATGTCATAAAGAGCTGATATAATGCAGTGGAAGAATTGGCGCAGTTTTTTGCACTTAGGTATTCATATATTTTAATATTAGTTATTTTGAAATATACAGGTGTATATCCTTTTTGCTAAGAACAAATAAGTTAGGTGTTACAATAAAAGAGCTATATCACAGAAATTGACAAAAATATGGGTTCAAAACCAAAGGTTTTCAGTCTTGTCTGAATTTACCAGCAAATATTAAATATATAATAAATTTGAAATGAATAAAAAACAATAAGAAAAAACGGACACAAGGACACGAGGATAAATATCCAATAAGATTTGAACAGTAACTACCCAAATAATGCTCTCTCGTGTGTACACTTTTTTTGTATCCAATTAGCAGTATCCAATAGGACTTGGACTTGATGTACCCAATATATAACCAAATGTGTGTCTGTCCGTCCGTCTGTCTGTCCGTCTGTAAACTTTTCACATTTTCGACTTCTTCTCAAGAACCACTGGGCCAATTTTAACCAAACTTGGTACAAAGCATCCTTGGGTGAAGGGGAATTTAAATTGTTAAAATGAAGGGACATATCCCCTCGCAAGGGGAGATAATCAAGAAAAGACAAAAATAGGGTTGGGTCATTAAAAAATCTTCTTCTCAAGAACCACTGGGCCAGAAAAGCTGAAACTTATGTGGAAGCATCCTGGTATAATGTAGATTCTAAATTGTTCACATAATGACCCCCAGGTTGAAGGGCGGGGCCACAATGGGGAATCAAAGTTTTATATAGAAATATATAGGAAAAATCTTTGAAAATCTTCTTCTCAAGAACCACTGGGCCAGAAAAGCTGAAACTTATGTGGAAGCATCCTGGTATAATGTAGATTCCAAATTGTTTAAATAATGACCCCCGGGGGAAGGGCGGGGCCACAATGGGGAATCAAAGTTTTATATAGAAATATAAAGGAAAATTCTTTGAAAATCTTCTTCTCAAGAACCTGGGCCAGAGAAGCTGAAACTTATGTTGAAGCATACTGGTGTAGTGTAGAATCTAAATTGTTCAAATCATGACCCCCGGGGGAAGGGCGGGGCCACAATGGGGAATCAAAGTTTTATATAGAAATATATAGGAAAAATCTTTGAAAATCTTCTTCTCAAGAACCACTGGGCCAGAAAAGCTGAAACTTATGTGGAAGCATCCTGGTATAATGTAGATTCTAAATTGTTCAAATAATGACCCCCGGGGGAAGGGCAGGGCCACAATGGGGAATCAAAGTTTTATATAGAAATATAAAGGAAAATTCTTTGAAAATCTTCTTCTCAAGAACCTGGGCCAGAAAAGCTGAAACTTATGTGGAAGCATCCTGGTATAATGTAGATTCTAAATTGTTCAAATAATGACCCCCGGGGGAAGGGCGGGGCCACAATGGGGAATCAAAGTTTTATATAGAAATATAAAGGAAAATTCTTTGAAAATCTTCTTCTCAAGAACCACTGGGCCAGAAAAGCTGAAACTTATGTGGAAGCATCCTGGTATAATGTAGATTCTAAATTGTTCAAATCATGACCCCCGGGGGAAGGGCGGGGCCACAATGGGGAATCAAAGTTTTATATAGAAATATATAGGAAAAATCTTTGAAAATCTTCTTCTCAAGAACCACTGGGCCAGAAAAGCTGAAACTTATGTGGAAGCATCCTGGTATAATGTACATTCTAAATTGTTCAAATAATGACCCCGGGGGAAGGGCGGGGCCACAATGGGGAATCAAAGTTTTATATAGAAATATATAGGAAAAATCTTTGAAAATCTTTTTCTCAAGAACCAAAGGGCCAGAAAAGCTGAAACTTATGTGGAAGCATCCTGGTATAATGTAGATTCTAAATTGTTCAAATAATGACCCCCGGGGGAAGGGCGGGACCACAATGGGGAATCAAAGTTTTATATAGAAATATGTAGGAAAATTCTTTGAAAATCTTCTTCTCAAGAACCACTGGGCCAGAAAAGCTGAAACTTATGTGGAAGCATCCTGGTGTAGTGTAGATTCTAAATTGTTCAAATCATGACCCCCGGGGGAAGGGCGGGGCCACAATGGGGAATCAAAGTTTTATATAGAAATATATAGGAAAAATCTTTGAAAATCTTCTTCTCAAGAACCACTGGGCCAGAAAAGCTGAAACTTATGTGGAAGCATCCTGGTATAATGTAGATTCTAAATTGTTCAAATCATGACCCCCGGGGGAAGGGCGGGGCCACAATGGGGAATCAAAGTTTTATATAGAAATATATAGGAAAAATCTTTGAAAATCTTCTTCTTGGGAACCACTGGGCCAAAAAAGCTGAAACATATGTGCCCATGGAAGGATCATGGGGTAATGTAGATTGCAAAATGTCTAAATTATGATCAGTGGGGTAGGTTGGGTATGCATTATGTATAACAATGGGAAAATCTGGTAAAGAACAGAATGGTCAAAGCTTTTCAGGTGAGCGATGTGGCCCATGGGCCTCTTGTTCTTTTAAAAATCTAGAGAGTAAAACTGAAAACAATGTTGAATTGTTTTGGTCATCATGTTGTTCTCATTACATATTTTCTTCTTCTTTTTTATATTCAAATTTCAAGACAAAAAAAGAAAAAAAAACATTAAATAGATAAATACAAGCAGAAAATAGAGAAAAGTCATTCTAACAAATGTATTCGTACTTGTTAGCAAGTCGACAAGATAAAATGAAAATAATATACAAGTAAATTATGTTAAATTAGATTTTTTAAACGTTTTATACGACAGGTTGCAGTAAAAGATTTTATTTTTTCATGATTTCTAAATACATTGCTTCGGGAGAGAAAAAGGTGAAATTAAAGTCAATTGTACATGAAATGTGGAAGATAATCACAATGAAAAACAGTTTGAATGTGTATGACAAAATTTTGAATCTATATGCCTATAAAGTTTTTTTCCTTTTTTTCAGGACAACCCTGCACATTTGCAGTTGTACAGATTGTAGTTCATCTCATATGCTGTTAGACAAAATAATGAAAGATGTTCAAACTACTGTCAAAGATTCCTAAGTCTGAAATCAAGGTGCTTTTATTAAGGAGATCAGTGTTTGTTTTCTGTGCATTGTTGACATTTTGTGGAACTGTTTGGTTTATGACAATCTCTCTGACAATAACTCTGACATTTGAAATTCAATTTGAGTGACAGATAAGAAAGCCAAATCATATGAATAGAAAACATTATACAACTGTAATAAAAACATTGATAAACTTAAATTTAAACAATACATGTATCTGTGATCTTGGCATTGAAATTCATCACTATTCATGAATGCTGTACATGGATACTTTTAATGAATTTGTTTCATGGTAATGGAATATTTTAAAAATGTTAAACATTGTTGAGGAATCACCCTGAATAAAAATACTGTGAACTTGATAAAGTATTTTTTCCTCATTTAAACACTGAAAAATTTAAGATCAAATGTCAAGGTCAAATACAAGATTTACTCAAGAATGTGTTATAAATGCTGTAAATACTGTGAATTCTTATGCATGTTTTATAAGATCTAAGTAACATGTGTCAAATATTTTAATTCCTCATTCAGACACTGATTAACATTCAAGATCAAATGCCAAGGTCAATTACAAACTTGGCATACTCAAGAATGAGTTATAAATACTGTAAATACCGTGAATTCTTAATTTCTTATGTATGTCTTATAAGATCTAAGGAACATTTGTGAGCTCACTACAATATTTATTGCTGTCAATCTGTCTGACAATGACGATTTAGGAAATATTTTCTATTAAACATAAATTATTAAATTTCACACATAAAACAAAATTGCAAATCACGATTCTTGTGAATCATACATGAATTATAACTCCAGCATTGTCATCTGGCCTCAGGATCATGAAACATCTTAAGCTTAAGTTAAAATATTCATGTTGTAATAGAATTTTGATAAAGTTAAGTTGACAAAAATTAGATTGTACTTTAAAATATTGTTGTTATTTGCAAAATTAGGGATTCGTTCAATAATTAATTAACATTTTACAGGCAATTAAAAAATTGACTTAACTAAGTCTGTTTCATGATCCTGGGACCAGGTGGTTAGGTCATGGAAATAAAAAATTCGAAAATAGAAGGGATTTCAGGGGTCAGTACAGAAAATTGGTTTTTCTCTTTAACTTTTTTATTTTTCAACCAATCTTCAAACTGAATAGAGTATACAGAGTGCAATATAAAAAATATGGACCGTAGAGTCATTTTTTTAAAATCCTTATAGAAGTTTTAGTGGTTTGAAAACAGTACCTTTCATATTTTAAAAAAAAATCATAAAAGAGTTACATGTCTGTTTCTTTCTGTAGCTGTTGAAGTACATAGAGATTCGTTATGTCTCCAAACAAATATTGATTTAGAACTTTTGAGATATTTTACCATATCAGTTAGTACTGTGTAACGTTGAATTTTTTCTAAGATTCTTGATTTTAATGGATCGAAAAGCCCTCCGTTTTTGTTGAACGACAAAAAAGGTCTAGTTATTATTATTATACTTAGCAATTCTTTTGCTCAGATTTTCAGGAGTACCTTTAAAAGTAAGTATTTTATTTTATAATTATTAGATAGCTTATGTAAAAATGTTCTGTCTGTAATGTTTTGTACTTCTGGTCTTGTCACTTCCGGTTTCTACAATTGGAAAACTAAAATTTCTTAAGAAGCCAAAAACATTTTTAATTTCAGTGTCTAGTCTCCCAAATTTAAGATATGAATTCTAGAGACCTTATCCTATAAAAAAGTGCGCGTATGTGATTTTTTACCACAAATACTTTTCGAGATATAAGACTTCAAACATTGAAGAAGGGGGGAGGAAATTTTTGAAAGTCAAAATAACGTTACAAAAATTATTTTGAGGATGTAAATATGTTTAAACTAATTAGTAGAATATATCCTGTAAGTTTCATATCAATCAGACCTGAACTTCCGGTTTTATGGGTCTTTTAATTTTTATGTTAAAATGAAATCAGTTATGTAACAGTATCTCTAAAAGTAATTATGATTTTCTTGTAATATTTTGTATACAGAATGACTCTGATACTGTTCCAACTTCATTAGATTATGAAATCAAAATGTGGGAAAATAAGGGATTTCTAGGGGCCAACATTTAAAACAGACCTTTGCCCTGTAACTTTTTTATTTCTCAATGAATTTTCAAACAGTTTTCGGATTTCAGTTCAGCATAAAGAGTACAATTTAAAAAATATGGTCCGTGGGGTCACTTTTTGACCCCTTATAGGAGTTTTAGAGACCTGAAATATTGCATTTTTAAGTCTTTTCAAAAATGATAATGTAAGAGTTATCTCTCTTTGTTGACCTGTTTGAAGTCTAATATGCTCTCTACGTTTTAATTTTTGTATGCACATAAAGAGTACTTCCGGTTTTATGAGTGCCTTAAAATTGCCTATGGAGATTTCAATGTTAAAATCGAAATCATCATTGTTCCATTATCTCAAAAGGTAGGCAAGCAGTTCTCTTGAAATTTCATATGAATATTGACTCCAGCATTGTCTCAAGGAGGTAAGGTCATGAAAATAAAAATCCCTAAAATAGAAAGGATTTTAGGGGTCAGTACAGAAAAAAGCTTTTTCTCTGTAACTTTTTTAATTCTCAACCAATCTTTAAACTAATTTTGGTATTACAACAAGCATAAAGATTATAGTTTAAAAATTATGGGCCGTGGAGTCACTTTTTGACCTCTTATAGGAGTTTTAGTGGATTGAAAAACAGTACATTTTCGTATGTTTTTAAAAACCACGAAAGAGTTATGTCTCCTTGTGTAGACACTGGTGTACAAATAGAATTGTTATGTTTCCAATTAACTTTTGCAATATTGTATTCTATGATTTTTTTTATTGTAAAATATTGATTTTTCTTTTAAGATTCTTTACTTTAAGGGGTCGAAAAGCCCTCCGTTTTTGTTGAACGACAAAAAGATCTACTTATTATTATTATACTGAACACTTCTATCGTTCAGCATTTAGGGAGTACCTTTGAGAATAGGTATTTTATATTGTTACCACTAAATAGCAAATTAAATTCTCTCGTGCATGAAACAAGAACAACTTCCGGTATAGTCACTTCCGGTTTCTACTAAAGGAAAACTGAAAATTCTAAAGAAGCCAAAAATCATTTTTAATTTTCGGGTCTAGACTCCCAAATTTAAGATATGAATTCTAGAGACCTTATCCAATAAAAAAGTGCGCGTACGTAATTTTTGAACACAAATACTTTTCGAGATATAAGACTTCAAACATTGAAGAAGGGGGGATGAAATTTTTGAAAGTCACAATTGCGTCTTCAAAATTATTTTGAGCATAGAAATATGTTAGAACTAATTAGTAGAACATATACTGAAAGTTTCATGTCAATCCGAAAAGAACTTCCGGTTTTATGACCCTTAAAAGTTTTCTTTTAAAATGAAATTAATCGTGGCGCATTTTCTACTAAAGTATTCAAGATTTTCCTGTTATATTTTGTATACAGAATGACTCTGATACACTTCTGACATCATTAAAGTATGAAATTGAAATTTTGGAAAATAAGGGATTTCTAGGGGCCAACTTTGAAAACAGACCATTCCCTGTAACTTTTTTATTTCTCAATGAATTTTCAAACAGTTTTCAGATTTGACTTAAGCATACAAAGGACAGTCTAAAAAATTATGGTCCGTGGGGTCACTTTATGACCCCTTATAGGAGTTTAGAGTCCTGAAATATTGTATTTTTTAGTCTTTTCATAAAATGATAGTGTAAGAGTTATCTCCCTTTGTCAATCTGTTTAAAGTGTAATATTCTTTCTACGTTTCAATTTTGGTATGTATATGAAGAGTACTTCCGGTTTTATAATATCCTTAAAATTCCCTATGGAGATTTCTATGTTAAATTTGAAATCACGTTTGTTTTTTTATTTCAAAAGTACAGCATGCAATTCTTGTGATATTTCACATGAATAATAATTTTTGCACTATCTTTAAGGGGTTTGGTCATGAAAACAAAGTTCCCAAAAATGAAAGGGATTTTAGGGGCCAGAATAGAAAAACAGTTTTTTGACTGTAACTTTTTTATTTCGCCCCATATCTTCAAATTTATTTCGGTTTTGAGTTAAGCAAAAGAAGGGCATTTAAAAAAATTTTGGTCCGTGGGGTCACTTTTTGATCCCTTATAGGACTTTTAGAGATCTGAAATATTGTATTTTTCAGTAGTTTCAAAAATAATTGTGCAACAGTTATCTCCCGTTGTCCACCTTTCTGGAACCTAATATTTCCTCTATGTTTCAATTTTGGTATGTTTATGAAGAGTACTTCCGGTTTTATGAGTCCCTTAAAATTGTCTATGGAGATTTCTATGTTAAATATGAAATCATACAATGTCCCATATCTCAAAAAGGAAGTAAGCAATTCTCGTGATATTTCACATGAATAATGACTCAATCATTGTCTACAGTTTATAAGTTCATGGAAATAAAATCCCTTAAATGGAAGGGACTTTATGGGTAAGTACAGAAAACAGCTTTTTCTCTATAACTTTTTTATTTCTCAACCAATTTTCAAACTAATTATGGTTTTGCATTAAGCATAAGGAGTACAGTTAAAAAATTACAGGCCGTGGGGTCACTTTTGGACTCCTTATAGGAGTTTAATTGGATTGAAAATTAGTACATTTTCGTATGTTTTAAATATTTATGAAAGAGTTATTTCTCTTTGAGTAGACACTGGTGGACAAAGAAAATCGTTATGTTTTCATTTCAGAATTGATCTCAAAAGAACTTTGTGCGATATTGTATTATTTGATATTTATTTTTGCTGTGTAATATAAGACTCTTCTTTTTAAGGGGTCGAAAAGCCCTCCGTTTTAGTTGAACGACAAAAATAAGGTCTAGTTTTACTTGATCTTTTGATAATGATTTAAAAAAGATAAGATTTCAATGGTAGGGTATTTTATATAAGAAAGTTACTTTAATTTTATTACAGATGCACCACATTTATGTATT